GTTTCAGCTTGAGGTCACGAACAGATGGCCGGACATTCTCCTTCAGGGTTTTTTGGTAAACAGCAGAATTCATGGTTCCATTTATCACAGCAAGTCTTCCAGGTCCTGAAGCAGCAAAACAGCCCCAGACCATCACACTACCACCACCATATTTTACTGTTGGTATGATGTTCTTTTTCTGAAATGCAGTGTTATTTTTATGCCAGACGTAATTGGGACCCACACCTTCCAAAAAGTTCAACTTTTGTCTCGTCAGTCCACAGAGTGTTTTCCCAAAAGTCTTGGGGATCATCAAGATGTTTTCTGGCAAAACTGAGATGAGCCTTTATGTTCTTTTTGCTCAGCAGCGGATTTTGTCTTGGAACTCTGCCATGCAGACCATTTTTGCCCAGTCTCTTTCTTATGGTGGAGTCATGAACACTGACCTTAACTGAGGCAAGTGAGGCCTGCAGTTCTTTGGATGTTGTTGTGGGGTCTTTTGTGACCTCTTGGATGAGTCGTCGCTGTGCTCTTGGGGTAATTTTGGTCGGCCGACTACTCCTGGGAAGGTTCTCCACTGTTCCATGTTTTTGTCATTAGTGAATAATGGCTCTCACTGTGGTTCGCTGGAGTCCCAAAGCTTTAGAAATGGCTTTATAACCTTTTCCAGACTGATAGATCTCAATTACTTTCTTTCTCATTTGTTTCTGAATTTCTTTGGATCTCAGCATGATGTCTAGCTTTTGATGAACATTTGGTCTACTTCACTTTGTCAGGCAGGTCCTATTTAAGAGATTTCTTGATTGCGAACAGGTGTGGCAGTAATCAGGCCTGGGTGTGGCTAGAGAAATTTAACTCAGGTGTGATAAACCACAGTTTTAACAGGGGGGCAAACACTTCTTCACACAGGGTCATGTAGTTGTGGGTTTTGTTTTCCCCTAATAATAAAAACCTTCATTTAAAAACTGCATGTTGTGTTTACTTGTTATCTTTGACTAATATTAAATTTTTTTTGATGATCTGAAACATTAAAGTGTGACAAACATGCAAAAAAAATAAGAAATCAGGAAGGGGGCCAACACTTTTTCACACCACTGTATATGTATATATGTATGTTTTTTTCCACTCTGTTTAAGTTAACTCATTGGGTTTTACAGTGAAACAAGTAAAACAAATCTAAATACAGTATATTAAGCATTCTCATTATCTCATGAAGTCTCACTCTTTAATGGTATTTTAAGTGGGGGGGGAGTGTTAAATTAGTTAAGAATGGGGTTTTCTCAGTATTCTCTCTGACCAAATTAAATGAGATTGTTTTTGTTAGTAAATGTTTTAGAAAATAAGTTTAAAAGTTCATTGTCCCATCAAATTCTTATAAAAAAAAAAAAAAGAGAAATCAATTTTCTTTTGGGGCCACATGTGTGCTGTTGAGGCCTGCAGTCACGTCACTAGATATGAGTTTCCTAATTAAAACATCAAATATCTGATTGCGTTCGAGCTGATATGAAACTAGTTTAGTTGGTCAGCCAGAGCGACTAGTCTTCTCCACATCTCTGGTTGAGTGTGAGCGGATAGATTGGCTTCTGTGAGTAGCTTTCTGTCACCCGGGTTCAGCCTCAGTAGCATTTAGCCTCTTCAGATGGAAGTGAATTCATCATGCTATCATGTTCCCAGTGATGGAGCGGTTATTGGATGCAAGTGCTCTAAATGTGACGGACGGACTTCCTGTCTGGCTCTCTGCTCCTGCCCTCTCTGGTGTTCTCACATAGTCTTAATGAGATGCTTCAGCTGTCTGCTGTAAGTGCGTGTGCAGTTTCAGCACCAGGACTGTACGCTGGACATTAAGTTGTGACCCTACATGAGAGCAAATCTGTTCCTGAACAAAGCTGAAGCTGTTAATTTAGTAACGTAATTATACTTGACAAATTTTTCTGTAAATGCCTGAAAGTGTACAGTAGTTGATGAAGTGCTCTGAAGTGTTATGCTGCAATCCAGTGTAACTTTAACTGTGAGTTTGGATCCTATTTTGCACATTCATAATTTATAGTAGGAGAGAATACATTTAGTGGAGCTCAAATTGTTGTCTGTTGAAGGTGTCTGGATGTAGTGTTATAGTATTGTGTATATATATACTATTATAGTTTTCTTGATATTTGGAATTGGGGTTTATTTTTACATTTTAGTTCGTTTCGGTAATTTTGTTGTTTGTCATTTTTAATATTTGTTTTATTATTTTTTAAATATTTTATTCTATAATTTATGTATAAGTTTTAGTTTATTTACTTGGCAACTAGCTGAAATAAAATAAGGTATAAGTTCATAATTAGATTTCTATTTTCACTGTTCATTTTCATTTGAGTTAATTTCTGTAATTTTGTTGTATTTGTCTTTTTTTTTTCAATGTTCATTTTATTATTTATTAGTTTCATTTTATTTAGTTTGTTACTTTAGTACTTCAAAGTTAATGTAAAAGAACACAAATAAAATAAGTTAAAGGGTTATGCAACATTTTTATTTTTCCAGTAACTGGTTTTTTTTTTTTTTTCATGTGGTTTTAGTTAATTATAATAACTCTGCCTGTATGGTATACTAATCCTGCCAGATTTTTTAATTTTGCATTTGTGTATTTTTTATTTCAACTAATATTACCCACAACCCCCTAGTATGTCATATGAAGACACTTTCAGTATTTAGCAGTATGTCTCATTTCTAAATATGCAGTAAGGCAGTACACCAGTATTATATAGTTTCCCATTATCAGCTACGTGTGTACATGTTTGACATGGATTTAGTCTTAATGTGTTTTAGTGTTTAACAGCGGAGATGATGCTTGATCTGTACTTCAAATTGAAATCCATTCACTGATAACTGCTTATGTTGTTCTTTATGTGAGTAGAACAAATTCTTATGAAAAATTCCCACAAGATCTGGTTACTTGTGTCCTAGTGTCCATGTTACCTCGTGACTCAGCTGTTGTTGTCAGTGTGTGAGTATCGGGGGAAGCCGCTCTGTGTCTCCAGTGTTTGTGAGAGGTGTGTTTGTATGCCTGGCACGGCTCGCGGCCAGAGTTGAGTCTGGTGAACATGAGCGGCAGCAGGTTTCATCAGTGCTCTCCGGTCACGCTTCATGGCGGATCATGTTCACCGTGACCCGCTACACGCCGACCTCATGACCCGCTACAGACGGAGCTGACCGGTAACGAGCAGCTGGCGCTCAACGTGTCCACACACACCTATGCAACCAGCTCAGCTCTCTATTCTATTCTATTCTATTCTATTCTATTCTGTTGGATAGAACAAAGAAAATATAAGTGCAAAGCTCTCCAAAGTCTCTTCTGCTCACAAAGGCTGCATTTATTTGATCAAAAAACAGTAATATCATGGAAGATTATTTAATGGCTCTCACTGTGGTTCGCTGGAGTCCCAAAGCTTTAGA